CTTTTGACAGCAGAGTCAGATTGCGATGAAACTTTCTACACAGCTTAGTCTTGACAATATCTCCGTCGAGTTCGAAGATGAGAAGGATCGGCCGAGTCGTTCCTGAGTTATTTCAAAAATAGCCATTTTTCTCTATAGCTTTCTGTGGAAAAATCGACCCATCGCCGCTTTCGTGAAAGACTTTTCCTATCATAGTCAAATAAAACGGCTATCATTTAAGTGGTCAGTAAAATAAATGAAATGGCCAGTAAAAGCATATATAAATGATCAGTAGAAATATTGAATTGTCAGTAGTATGACGGTCAGTACTTAACTAAAAAATGGTCAGTAATTAATCATAAAATGGTCAGTTTTCTATATACTTAAGGTTATCCAAAAGTAGTGAGCCTGATATTGTGTTTTGGTATAGACCGCTTGGAAAAATTTTCTTTTTTTATGAAAAGATAGAGCGTCTTTCGCTGCATCTTTCTATGCTATTTGATCAGTATTAAACTTATATCATAATAATAAAATTTCGATAAGAACTATTTTTGTTGAAAACCAGTTGGTAGCATTTAGATCATAAGGAGTGTGGCATAAAAAATGGGACACTTTTGCATTTCATTTTATTATCACTCAATACGTTGTATTAAAAAAGAACAAAATACATCAGAAGATGCAGCGTGAAAAGCTCTACGATTTATAAAGTACCGCTTATTTTATAGTTGTACTTTTTGTTTTAAAAATGGACAAAACTCTGAGTTACCAAGTTTCGACATGATGAAAACGAGACTGTTTTTTGGATAAAAAAGTGAATTCGGTTTTTTTCTATCTTATTTTTGTATCATTGTTCTTTGTAAATTGTAGAGCTCTTCACTCTGCATCTTGCAGTGTATTTTGCTTTTTAAAATAAAACATATTAAGTAATAAAAAAATGAGATAGACAAAACGGAATTTATCCTTTACCAAAAAAACAATCTCGTTTTCGCAACGTCGAAATTTGATAGCTCAAAGTTTTGTTCATTTTTGAAACAAAAAGTACAACTATAAAATAAGCGGTACTTTATAAATCGTAGAGCTTTTCACGCTGCACCTTTTGGTATATTTTGTTTTTTCAACACAACATATTATGTGATAATAAAGTGGAATGCAAAAATACCACATCCATTATGATCTAAATGCTACCAACTGAGTTTTCAACAAAAATAGTTCTTATCGAAATTTTATTATTATGATATAAGTTTAATACTGATCAAATAGCATAGAAAGATGCAGCGAAAGACGCTCTATCTTTTCATAAAAAAAGAAAATTTTTCCAAGCGGTCTATACCAAAACACAATATCAGGCTCACTACTTTTGGATAATCCTAAGTATGTAGTTTAGAAGCGCATGTAAAAGACACTCATCATAATGAATCTTTTAAAAGAGAACCTAGAGAACAAATGATTAAAGCAAAATATGTTTTGAGCACTTTTTTACGCATTCTGACAGAAAAACATGTGATACCTTAGTTTTTATGGCTAAAAAAAGGTTAACAAAGAAGACTTTTCAAAACTTTCAACCGGTAAAATTCCGGTCTTCACCGGTCCGCTTGATTTCCTCAACTGGTTTCAGCCCTGGTATGAGTGCAGGCAACTGGAAATTCTATGACTTTTTATCAAGCTTCTAAGAAGTTCGGCTGAGAACAAGTGTTTTAAAAATATTTTTACAGAATTTCAATTCCTGATGAAATGTGATTAAAACTTTCAGGAAGCGCGTGAAAAAGATATTCGCGATGTTTGCAATTCATTAAACATTGCCATTTTGTAAATGGGATATCGAGAATATCCTAGCTGATTTATGTGATCGTACCTCGTCTCTCAGTGAATATACTAATGCAAAGAATAAAGTAAAATCGAAAAATAGTTTTTCCTGAACGTTCTAGGTATGCGGTGTGAGTATGGGTGTGTGGGTGGAAGTGAGATCAGAGGACATCCACACCCACATCCACTCTCTCGAAACGTGATTGAACATCATCGAATAGATAAGTTTTTTGTCTCTTGAGCTAAAGTAGCTAGTTTCTTTCTCATGCATTAATAAAGTTCTTTGTTGCTGCTTTTATATTCTCTCCTGCTTTCTTTTTTTATGTATTCTCTCTTTGCATAATTTGAATTATAATAAATTATATATCCTAGACAGTCGATTGTTTCGAGGAAATTTTCCTATTAATATATACTTTTCTAAAAGTAGAATTTCGAGTTTTTTCGAATAATTATTACTATGATCATAAACTTTTACAAGCATAACTATATCTTTTGATAGCTCTTAAAATTCTCTATTAGACAACACATTTTTTAAATCTTGCCTTGTTTATATTTTACTCAAAATTAATTCGAATAATCATTTTATAAGCTTCTCATTGACTGATTCTTGGACATACACATGTGGCGTCATTTGTGACATCGTTCAACGGTTTCTTATTGAAAAACAGATAAAAACTAGAGGCAGATTTTTTTTCTGAAAACAATTCTTACGTGTGTTGTTTTACATATTGATAGTCTTGAATGGTTTTATGTTGAAAAATTAGATCTTCATCAGAATTAGATGAAATCCTACATGACTCTACAAATTCTGTCTAATGTTTTCGTGTTATCAAAATGGATCCCTTTCTGGCGATATCTATCGTTGAACAACAAAAAAAGTCCGACCATCTATTTTTATTACTGCATTAATAGATATTTCGGCTATCTCTTTGAATATTTTTTCTCTTATGATAAAAAGCTACTGCTTTTCTATTTTGCGATTTGCTTATCCATGAAATATCTGACGGATCATTTTTCCATATTTTAGTGCATCTAACAGATTCTGCATTTTACCAAATGTCAGAACCCTTCTGATCCTGAATACAGGTTCTAGTAACTTGTGTAACATCTCCTTTTTTTTTCTTGTTCGAAACTATTTTTTTCGAGTGGTGTGTAAACATGAATTGTCAAATGTTTATTGAATCAGATCATACAGCAATTTATAAAGCATATCGTCCTGGTTATCCACGAGAATTATATAACAAAATTTTGGAATTTTATTTCAATACAACCAATATCGATTTCAATAATGATGATAATGATAAAAAAATTCCGTTAGCTTTAGATGTTGCCTGTGGCAGTGGACAAGCAACTGTTGATTTAAGTTATTATTGTCACCGAGTCATTGCTATTGATTGCAGTGAAAATCAATTAAAAAATGCAACATTAAAACAAAATATTGAATATCATTGTTCTAATGCAGAAAATTTAACATTTCTATCACCCAATTCAATTGATCTTGTCACAGTAGCAACAGCATTACATTGGTTTGATATTCAAACATTTTTTGAGCAAGTTGATCGTATTTTGAAACCGAATGGTGGTGTTCTAAGTATTTGGTGTACAGGTTTTCCATCATTAGACAATCTGAAAACTGTCGAAATCCTAAACAACTTCTATCAAAATGACCTTCATGGTTGTTGGAGTGATAAAACACAATTAATAGTTGATCATTATGAATCAATACTCGATACATTTCCATATCAACAAACAAGAATAAAACATGTTATCGACTATGAACGAGAAATGTCTATTCTTCAATTTGTCAATTTGATTGAAACATGGAGTCCATGTCAAACATATCGTAAACGTCATGGAGAAGATCAATTCAAACAATTATTAAAGACATTTGCAGATAATCTGGCTAAGTGTTATGCAGAATCATCAAATGATATTATTGGTAATAATGATCGCGATGATATTTATGATAAAACAATTGCTGTTAAATGGGCAATACATTTGCATCTAATGAAAAAAACAATAAATAGTATGGATTGATTAGATATAATATATGAAACCTTATTTCCAAAACATGTTGGCAAAGATATGCACAATAGTTTTTAGATTTTTCACTTGTCTATAACAATCAAATATGGCGCAAATGAGTTTTATTTCTTATCTCTACCGGTAGCATCCGGTGGACAATTGAATCACTAATATTTTCATGCTTTTTTAGCACAAAACGATAATTTTTTTCATTAAATACTGCTACACTAATCAATTATGCCGAAAGTTTTGTTCTGATTTGATTCAATAATTCATATTAATATTTTTGTCAGTAATCACAATAAACAATAAAGATAGATTTCCGTGGTTTCAGACATTTTTCTCTTTCAGATGAGAAAAAAGTGTGTGGGTACGAGTGTGGGTGGATATGGGTGTAGGTGCGGGGTGTTGCTTAAAGAACTGCACCCCCACCCAGTATGAGCTTCTCTTCTAAAATCTTACTCCTCTAAATAATCTTAGCAAATATATTTTTAGCCAACTTCTTACTCACTCTTGACAATTGAAGTGCCGGATTCCCTATGCTAAATAGCTACTAAGTAATCTATTATTCGCAAGGAAATCATGAATAAGATCTCTGTAATATTTGATGTTTTCAAATAGTACATATGTTCGTAATCAAGTTCGTATCATTATTTTTGAATTGGATCTTGGTATCTTGCGATTTATATTCAAAATTGAGCAAGTGAATAAGTCGAACATATGTCAATCATTTAAACATGCATCAGATTTTAACTGAGACCTGATGAGAATAATAAGGAATGACACTTAAGTCTTGAGATAGATTTTGTCAACAATCAGTCATACTCATATTTCAAGTGAATTAGTACTTTTTCTATCCGATGATATTAATTTAGAAAAAAATTCGACGGCATACAGATAACATATCCGATCAGATTTCACACAGAAAATATTACTAAGAATTCCAATTTGACTGTTTATTTTATGAGAAAAATCTTTCTTTCAAGACCATCTACGATTACAGAACTTGTTTCTAATTAGAGAAAATGAGCATAGAACTTAACGCTGGTACAAAATCAAGTCTTCTCCGTAAAATGTCTAAAATTGCTACACACTTTGCAACAGCAAAAGAGTAGTTTATTGTATATCGATAGATTTTACATTATCAAATATCGAAAGACGTTATGTAGAGTTAGAATATGGCTCTCATTATCTCCTTTAATTCTATCATATAGACATTCAAGGAACTATCTCGTTATGATAACAAAATCAGTGATACTGAGGGCACAACATTTGGTAATGCACTAAAAGTCAATCAAGTAAGCTATCTTTCCAACTGATATTCTTAGTTAAAGATCTTCACTCTTTCATACATACATTAATGCATAAAATTGTTGACAGATTAATAACTGAATTCGAGACTATCGAAGAAAAATTCGTTACGATCAGTTGTTAAAGTCATGTTTTGTTAGCGTAGAAGAATTTGCAAGATTTAGGTATTTATTCAAAGGAAGTCCCTAAAATGTAAAATTGGATTCGTTGCTAAATATTCGGTCATTTTCAAGTTCAGTCAGAAATGTTTGGAAATTCTATTTTCACTCTTTTACTACGATTAACGGATTATTTTAAGTAAATTTTAACCTTGGATTCCTATCAAGTGTGAGTGAAGCGTTTTATCATGATATTAGAAGAGTACATACAAACTGTACTGCTGTGTCTCGTGTCACAGAAGACGTATACCATTATGATATGAGTTTTCGCTTGAAATTAAATAGATATTGATTGATTCATTGCAAAACTAGCAAACGAAGATATTTCCAGCTTTCCGATGTCAAAATCTAGAAAAACGAACTGTTTTCACAGATAGAAATTTCGTTGGGTGTGAGTGTGGTTATTACTTTCTTCACTAACACACACCTATGCCCACATCCACCCTGTCCAACGTCATGCCGACAAGCTGGATGTAAAATATGCAGTCGACTAAGTACCATTTCCAACGACGAAAATATTTGGATGCAATACTTCAATCGATTGTCATACTCGTTTTATTATTTATAAACAGAACTGTAAAAAATGTGGAAAAAATTCAATTGATCATACGGATTCTTTATTTAACATCAAAAAGATTTGTTTTCGTGATAATAAGAATACTCGTATATTTCCATTTCATAAAATGAACACAAATAATCCAGTAGATAGGCAAATATGGCTTAACATATTTCGACGCAATAAACTTTCAAAATAATTGATTATGTGTAAGTTGTGAAGTCTTGATGTCTGTTTTTCTTCATGCGATCTGACGAAGGTCATCCTAGGACCTGATCGAAACGTAAATGAATATACATACAAAGTTTAATCAATTATAATGAATGTTGAATGGTGTGATTTTATAAACAATGAATTTTCATATTACCACTATTCAATATTCATTAGACAAAGAAAACTTTATAAAAGAGAAATAATAACGATTATAGCTTAGTCTGAGATCCTTCACTAATGTTTTTCACCATCAGATTGAGAGTTGCTAGTAGCAACTTGCTACACAACTCTTCAATCTGATGGTGTAATAAAATAATAATTATAAGAAGATTTTAAAACATAGGGTTCATTTAAGCCTCTAACCATTCCTGTTTAGTAATACCTGCTTCATTCAAAATATCCTTTAGTAAGTTAGTTTCAAAAATATCGTAGGTAGGAAACGGAATACTAAGATTACCACGAACTATATGACACCCGTGGCGACCATTACCTGTTCTAAGTTGAAAACCAAATTTAGTAGTCAATACTTTAAGAACAACTCTTCGTTTAGTATTTTTAAATTCCGGCATTGATTCTCTTTTATATATACTTTCTTCTTTTATTAATAAAAAGAATCATTTAAGTTTTGTATGTATATACATTCTGAAGACGAGACACTGTGGTGTTTCGAAACGTTATCGCAAATCTCTATTCTATTCCTATTGTTGTATTTTCCCAGTATCATTTGTGTTATGTGTGTGAAGACATACTTGTTTCCTTAATAAATACAGTGACAATTATTCTGACTTGATTTTTGAAGTTTCTTAGATTTGTCAAAGACTATCTTGATGTATGTCAACTTTTCAGAGCATCGTGCTTCAATCATAGACATAGTTTATCGATCTACTCAAAAGTCAACATAATTTCTATCTTTCGAATGTTATATTGCTAATATAGCAACGTATCGTAAAATTATCAAGACGATTCGTGATAATGGTACATTATGTAACTATCTGTATTGTCATTAAGTTGAGTATCAACTGTTAAGTATCGTTTTCTGCATATTTATATCGTCTGAAGGCCATCGGATTTAAGAAACAAATTTCAGATATGTAGTCATCATATCCTGGCCATCTCAACAGCCTTGTTTCAGACTCAAAATAATATTCAGACGCTGAAAATTGATTTAGGTTGTTATTGGTACTATGTGTATACTTATTTTTTAACAACAATTATTCTTTAGTTAATCGAAACTTGATAAAAATCAACTACTAAAAAAGCAATTGTTGGAACTAGCAGATTGATTTATATTAAAGACATAGAAGACTAGCCAACCTCACCTTCTAAAAATTCTTGAAATACTTAATAGTAAAATAGACAAAATCATGAAGATTGTTTTTACAGTAAAAAAAAAGTATTTTAATTCAACAATATTTAATTATTCAAAATTAATAAAATATCGACAACAATCATATTATTTATGCTTCACTTCATTTCTTATTTGAATTCGTTTGACAAAATGTTAGATATGAATATATAATTTAGTAGACAAACTCAACAATCATTCCTGAAAATTATTAATGAAATCATTATTGCTAAAGTTGTTTGATGGATGCTTCAATACTTATTATAATATTGTTTTTTCTTATTCTCAATAGATTAAATCTTTTTATTTGATATCGAATACATACTATCTAATCAATATTTATATTAAAATACAAAACGAGCAATTATTCTCCGCTTATAATAAAACACTGATAGATATATTAAATAATAACATATAACGAAAATATGGTTCTCATTTAATATAATAATACCAAAACACCTTGAATAATAAAACAAAAGAATTGAGAAAAAAAAGCAACAAGTTTTTTAATAACCTACTAAACATGAATGTGATTCAAGAAAAAGAATGAGACAAATATTAAAAACAAAATTAATATCATGAATATATTGGAAAAAAAGTCTACAAATACAGTTTAAAAACGATAAATAAAATAATTTACCAGTAACGGATCCAGAGAATGCGGTCGCATCTCATTGTAAACTTGACTTCACCTTTTTTTTTCAGAGGTCTTTATCGAAAAGTGTGTATTTTTTCCTATCCAGTACTCCTCTTCGAACATTCCTGAGTCTGCTACTAGTCCACACGGATTGCACCTTATATCATTGAACTCGTTGCATTTTGAAAGGTTGTTATACTTTCATTGTAAATATGGACTGCGGAATAAAAAGGAGTTTCACACGTAAAATTTCGATGAACTCTAACTCATTTGTCCATTAAAATAACATTGTTCATGTTATGCCCACCCTGAAATGAAGCGTACAGTGGTGAAAACTTGTGTTATGTAACATTTAGTATAGAGTATAATAAAAAGTATCACTGAGAAATTGTTTAGATCTATTTTTACTTTTTGGCATTAATCTTATCAAAAAGTAGTAATTTACTCATACATACGTTTTCTATCTATACATGTTATTTACAATCTAACGTTGTTTTCTCAATGATTTATTTCATTTCTTGTTTTTTTCTCACAAATAAAAAAAAAACAAACAAACAAAATTCAACTAGACAAAGAAAAAGAAACATGAATGAAATGTTTTATCTACATTTGATGTGGATGATATGATGGTGGAGCTAATGTTCGTACAAGATTATTTGAAAAAACAAATAATTTTAATCGATTAAATACCATTATGAATGGTACAAGTACACATATATATTGTATCCAACCCCATTTAAAATCTTGCCAAAATCCAGGTGTAAATCGAATTGATTGTCTTCCAATATTAAC